GTCAGTGGGCCATAGTCGCAGGGGTTCTACTAGTCTCTATCAGACTAGTAAATCTGGTCTTTTATTATTATTATTATTATTCGTTTTGTTCAACATTTTTCTCCCACTCTATCCAGGACCTCCTGTTGGGATCCCTTTCAAAGGGGTTAGCAGTGGTAACCAGGTACCATCTACTTCTTCTGGTATCAGGGTTGTGTAGGAGTTAGTCTCTTTAATAAATGGTGCTAGAATAATTGGATATCCATTTGCAAAAATAGGAACAGATCCATTCCTCACATCATACACAAAAACTAACTTAAAATGGATCAGAAACCTAAATGTAAATCCTAAAACTGTAAGGTTTAGGTAAAGTTCATGTGAGAAAACAGGGACAAACCTAGGGGCCCTAATTTATGACATAAACAGACTATCGGACATAGCTGAAAATGTACAACAACAGAATATAAACTACATAAATGAGACCTCCTAAAAGTTAAATACTTATGCTCATCAAGGCACTTCACCAGAACTGTAAAAGAACAACCTACAGACTGGAAAAAATAATTTTGACAATGACAGTATCAGACAAGGGACTGATCTCTAAAACGTATGGAAAACTTCAACACCTCACAACAAAAAGGCAAACAATCTAATTTAAAAAACGGAGAAAGGACATGACAGACACTTCACTGAAGACAACGTTCAAGCAACTAACAAACACACAGAAAAATTTGCAGTTATTAGCTGGTGGTGGTGGTGGTGTTGTTGTTAGGTGCCGTCGAGTCAGCTCTGAGTCATAGCGACCCTTTGTATAACAGAACAAAACACTGCCTGGTCCTGTGCCAGCTTCAGAATCCCTGCTATACCTGAGCCCATCATTGTAGCCATTGTGTCAATCCATCTCATTGAGCCCCTTCCCCTTCTTTTTGACCTCCACTAGAGAGATGCAAATCAAAACTTACCCTGGCAATAATGGTGCTGATCAAAAACATACAGAACAACAAAAACTGGTGAAGCTGTGGGGAGATTGGAACTCCTACTGTTGGTGGGACTGGAAAATGGTATGTCCACTATGGAAAACAGTATGGTGTTTCCTTAAAAAGCTGGAAACAAAAATACCATACAATTCACCAATCCTGTTCCTAGATATATATCTTAGAGAAATAAGAGCTGTGCCATGATAGACCTATGCATACCCCCATGTTCATAGCAGCATTATTCATAATAGCAAAAAGATGAAAACAACCTGTCCATCAGTGGATGAATAGGTAAACTGTGGCACATTGATACAGTGGTATAGTATGCAATGATGAGGAATAATGGTGAATTCATCTTACAACATGCATGAATCTGGAGGGTGTTATGCTGAGTGAAATAAGTCAGTCACAAAAGGACAAATACTGTATGAGACCATTATTATAAAAAGTCAAAAATAGATTTACACACACAAAGAAACTTTAATGGTTACCAGGGATGGTAGGAGAAGGTAGGGAAAACCACTAAATAGTATAGAAGTGTTAATTATGAGGAAGGGAAAGGCAGCATACAACATGAGGAAAGTCAGTACAATATGATTAAGATGCTGAGAGGTACGTGAGAATAAAGGACAACTATAATGAATGCTTGGGAGCTCTGGTGGAATAGTGCCTAAGGCATTTGACTGCTAACCAGAAGGCTGGCAGTTCAAACCCACCAGCCACTCCTCGGAAGGAAGGTTCAATGGGCAAGAGGTAGTCTCTTTATTTCTTTCTACTTCTGCCTCGGAAACCCAAGGAGGGGTCGCTATGAGTCGGATCTGACTCGACAGCAGTGACTTTTTTTTTTATACTGAATTGCTCAAGCATAGGGAAGATTGTGAGGATGGTATAGGCCTGGGCACTGTTTCATTCTGTTGTACTTAGGGTCATTGTGAGTTGGAGCTGACTCGGTGGCACCTAACAACAACAATATACAATCTTCCAACAACGGTAATAACAGACAGTAACTTAGGAGTAGAAAACCAAACCAAAACGAAACTTAACTGCCGTCGATTTGATTGCAACTCATAGCAACCCCTCCTTGGGTTTCCGAGGCACTATCTCTATGGAAATAGATTGCCCAACCTTCTTTCTGAGGAGTGGCTGTTGGGTTTGAACCTCCAGTGTTCTGGTTAGCAGTCAAATGCTTAGGCACTGCGCCACCAAAGCTCCTACTTATGAGTAGATAACATAGGTAAATAAATAGGTGAGGGGAGTCATATGAAAATAACACCACATATCTACATAGGTATGGTTGTGGATATTTCTGAATAAAAATTTGTAAGTGCTGCACGTATACTCATATGTAATAGTGCATGTAGGAGCACAGCTATAGAAACTATTTCGACATCAGCACTGAACTACTGGACTTGAAAGCTAAGAACCATAGTCTTGGGCAACATCTACATCAGTTGATAAAACACAGTTCATAAACATCATCTTTTACATACCAGTCTTGTGAATAGCATCTGGGGTCTTAGAAGCTTATGAGTGGCCATTTAAGAAGCAGCTATTGGTTTCTTTCTGCTTGGAGCAAAGGAGAATGAAGAAAACACAAGAATCAAGGAAGCAGTTAGTCCACAGGACTAAAGGCCCATGTGAACCACAACCTCCTCTAACCGTAGACCAGAAGAACTGGATACTGACCATACTGATTTGGACCGCAATAAAAGGTCCTAGTTACAATGTGTAAAAAGTGTAGAACAAGAGTCAAATTTAAAAAAAAAAAAGAGAGAGAGGGAACAGACTTCCTGGTCTGAGAGACTGGAGGGTTCCTGAAACTATTGCCCTAAGACAGCCTTTTAACTTGAAACTCAAGACAGTTACAGAGGCCACCTTTCAGCTTGTAAGATAAACAGTAACACCTGTGAAGAATGTGCTCCTTCGAGCACTATATGGAGACCAAAAGGGCAACATTTGTCCAAAACCAAAGATGAGAAGGAAAGGACAGGGAAACAAGAAATGCAAAAGGGGAACCAGGGAGAAAAAGGTGAAAATGATGACAAATTGCAGAGATTGCAACCAGTGTCACAGAACAAGTTGTGTATGAATTATTGATTGGGAAATTAATTTGCTATGTAAACTTTCACATAATACACAATAAAGTATTCAAAAAAAAAAAAAAAAGAAGAGGGAGACTTTCTGTTGCAAATGTGGCTAAGAGCCAGATCATGAAAGGTTTGTAGGCGATAGTAAGGAAGTTGTATTTTAAGTATGTTAGGAAACTGTTGTAGGCCATTAAGGTCCTCTTCTGCCATATATTTAGTTTTTTTTTTTCCCCCCCAATTTTATCATAAACAATGATTTAATTGCATACTTCTGTAATTTTTTAATAGAATGAATTTCTAGAAGTTTAACTATTTATAAGATAGGTACACGTGCAGGTTTGAGAGATAATGCTCAATTTTCTTCCAAAAGTATTGTATTATTTTTTACTCTTATTAACAGTATATGAGAATGAGATTTTTCTTCCCACCGTGTGCAGGTGTTTCAGCTTGGTCATAGATTATAAGCATGTTCACCCATGTTTACTTCTCGTACTTTTGTGGTTTATCATTTATGTTTAAATTTTCAATACATCTGGCACTTATTTAGATGCAGGGTATGAGGTGAGGAGTCTGTTTATTTTGCTATAAATGGGCGGTCATGTGCCAAAGTCCATTTATCCTTTTTTTGGCTACTGATTTGAAGTGCTATAGTCCATACATCAAATTTTCATTAAAGCTTGGTTGAATCTATTTCTAGACTAGATCTATTTGGCAGTTATAAATTATGGTGATTTGACTTTAAAAAATTCTGTCTTTCTATAAATTTTTTACCTCCTCTTTAGATTCTAATGGCCTTAACAGGAAAAATAATTTTCATCTTTAACTATTGAAGCAAGTAGTAGTTTCACATATCTGAGACATCACATATCCACTTAATGAAATATTTTCTCAAAATAAGGCATTTCTTCAGTATTTATAAAAGTTATTATTTAAGGGTATATTGTGACAGAATGGCCAATGAAGAAATAGTATTTAATCATGTAAAATTATTTAGTTCTTTATGTTACCTTACACACTTGACATACTTGATTTTCTTATTTTGTACTATAAATGCAATAGATATTTTCTATAAAGGGAGCTCTGGTAGCATAGTGCCTAAGGCATTTGACTGCTAACCGGAAGGCTGGCGGTTCAAACCCACCAGCCACTCCTCAAAAGGAAGATTGGGCAATCTACTTCCGTAGTGATACTGCCTTGGAAACCCACGGAGGGGTCGCCATGAGTCAGATCTGACTCGACGGCAGTGAGTTTTTTTTTTCTATGAAGAAAATAAGTTAGAAAATAGAAGCAAAAAGAAGAAAATGGAAATCATTCACAATCCCATTGAGTAAAAATAGTAATATGAAGCACCTTGTCAATAGACTAAATAACAGAGAATTATTTTTTCACCTAGATATAAATTGAAATCATACACTATATATTATTTTCTAATCTTTTTTTTTTTTTTGCCATCCACTATGTCATGAACATTTTCCATGCCATTAAATATTCAATATTTTTTCAGATGACTCTATGTAATTTAAAATTTTCATTTAAAATCACAGAATATTCTTCAGTTTTAAAAACTGACTTGGGATGTTAAATTTGAGCTTGTTGTGTAATTTCTTATTTTGCATTAAAACAAAAACGTTTAGTATAATTTTTAATAATCATTTGGGCAGAAATCTTGGATGATTTATTTCAAAGGTTTTTAACATTTTAAATTTAGGATTTACAGAAATTTACATTTTTATAGTATTAATACTCATTTTTATTTAGTGCATTGTTTGCAGGGTAGTATTTATAAATAATAACTTTTTTAGGTATTGATGTTTAAGGAATGAAAATTTGCTTGTTAAAATTTAAGGGTGTGTTACAATAGAAGTAATTAAGCATGGGATGTTTCTAAGTTATTCTGTATATAGTAACTCTGTAGTAAAGATTATTCTTTATTCTTTACATCTGTCCCCTTTTATAGGAACTTTAATGGAATTGGGTATCTCCCCAATTGTAACATCTGGTTTGATTATGCAGTTGTTAGCTGGAGCCAAAATCATTGAAGTTGGAGATACACCCAAAGATAGAGCTCTCTTCAATGGAGCCCAAAAACGTGAGCATTAAATTGTATACAATTAAAGAGTTTTTTCCAAATTTGAGAATGTTTACGATAAAGATGTTTTTCTTTCTTAGTAATTTGTTTTTTGTTGTCGAGAATATACACAGCAGAACATACACCAGTTCAATTGCTACATGTATAATTCAGTGAGATTGATTACATTCTTTGACTTGTACAACCATTCTCACTTTCCTTTTCAGAGTTTTTCCTTCCCTATTAACATAAACTCACTTCCTCCCAAATTTCCTGTCTAATTTTTTGAGTTGCTCTTTCAATTTAATCCCATATGGACAGATCTTGCAAGAGCATAATGCTCAAGGATAAAGATGTTTTTCTATAGCCTTTTTTTGTCTTTGGTTGTAAGCATGTACTCCTTTCCCCCCCCCCCAATTTTTGTCAGTATTTGGTATGATTATTACCATTGGGCAAGCCATTGTGTATGTCATGACGGGCATGTACGGGGATCCTGCTGAAATGGGTGCTGGAATCTGTCTCCTTATCATTATTCAGGTAAGACATTCTATTTTTTCGTATGCTGATAACTAAACAGTTTGATCCTTTTGTTTTTCTTTTGTAGTAAGTCTTAAGTAATCGATGCATTTGTTTTCTTATTTTTGAGTTATTTTACTTAATTATACTATTTTGATTATTAAAATAACAAATGATGTTGATGTGAAAAAATAAATTTATTTGAAAAGCTTTGTGGCTGTTTAAAGAATTACAGATATTTCATTGATTATAAGATACACATTTTTCACATTTTGATGTCTCTGAAATCGGGATTTTGTTTTTTACAGATGATACTATTTTCCTGTTGCTCTTAGTCAGATTGCAGTAATGACGTGGTTGTTATTTCCTGTGCATGTGTGTCAGCTTTGTCATAGTTCTTCATGTTATCATTACATCAGTTGAGTTATGTTGCCAGATACATGTTGAGTTTAATTTGTTTTGAAGATGTCTTCAAAGAATTTGCTGTGATTTGGTACGGAAATGACATGATGAAAATATAGAAACAGTGCAGCAAGCTAGATGATGAATATCTGTCTAAATTAATTCTTTTTTTATAAGTAGAAAATAAAAAGTCAATGTAATAAGGTATTGTGTTATAGTTTAATTATATTTTTTCTTTTTTTAGTGCTACACATGGCATTATAAGCAATTGTATCTTAAAGTCAATCAAAAACCAAATAATACATATGGACGTACAGTCTGTGAATTTTTTCAATGAGTACTTTAGAAAGACATTATTCAAGGCCAACATAATTATCACTGTATTAAGTATCTTAAAATATGTAAAATTTAGAAGATTTTTTTTTCCTATACAGACCTGAAGAATTATTTAGAGAAGTTACCCAAGAATGGATTGTACTTAAGCTATATAATAGTTACTTCCTGGATTTTGAAAAGAGATATAAGCTGGGAATATAAAGTCCTGGTTATCTTGGAAATTTCTCTTTCTTCTTCTTTCTATGAGATCAAGATTAATTTAGGATTTTTTTTTTTTAGTAACACCTAAAATCAAGTCAGAATATATGAAAAGTAAAATACTAGTTTATTAATACACATATTGAGAAATAGGACTATTTATGACTGGCATTATTGACCATTTTTTTATCTATAAGAAAACATACAGAGACTAATGAAGAGGATATTTAGTAAGCATGATTTAGAACAAGGAAAGTTAGATCGTTTATGGGTTTACTGGCATCAATAGCAGTAGAGGTGGCTTTTCTAAAGATAGGAGAATACTTAGTCTTTTGGCCAGAGCAGGAATTTTTAATGGTTTATCAGGGTCTTTGCTAGTTTTCTGAGCTATGGTGTGTTGCTGTTTGGTTTAAGGTATATTTCTTTAAGGAATCCTGGTGGTGCAGTGGTTAAGTGCTCAGCTGCTAACTGAAAGGCCAGCAGTTCGAAACTACTGTTGGCTCTGTGGGAGGAAGATGTGGCCTTGGAGACCTTTATGGGCAGTTTTACTCTACCCTGTAGGGTCAAATGAGTTGGAATCTACTCCACAGCAATGATTTCTCTGAAGAATGACATTGTCTTTATTTCTCCATTTAACCACTTGATTGGCCACTTCAAGCCCTTAGGAATTAGAGGAAAAAGATAGTCAATGGATTGGTATAGAAGATTCTCTGACAACAGATTTTAATATATTTAACACCTTTTCATATGCTTTTGGCATTGTTGAGGATACTGATATACCAATTATGTTTTGTTTCTTTATAGCATTTACTTTTGTAACTTATATTTTAGACTAACCCTGATACACTCAGAATTGGCATGTATCCAGCTCTTAAAAACATTATGGATCATTAACAGTTTTCTAGTTTTTACTAAGGATATGTTTACACTTTTAAAGAACCTCAACTGAACAATTTTAGGTTAAAGTGTTTACTACTTACAGAGATTTAAAAGACAATAAATAGTTATTCTATTTTAATATTTTTTCAGTATTCAGAAATCTAGGAATTTTTATATTACTAGTATGAAACAAGTAAAGTGGATATGTGTTAAATTCTAGTATACAAATATTTGAGTTATGATTGTTCTAATGTTAATGGATAAAGAAATAGATTATGTTTGATTGATCATATGTATCCTTTCAAAGCATCATTAACATTGAAAATATGTGGATACACTGAATAGATATGATTGTGTTAGTTAATTTTCACAAAGAAAGATAAGTTTTCACAACTGTTTGTTTGCATGCTGTTATGTATGATATCTCTCACCTTATTGTTAACTTCATTTACATGGTCTGTGATTCAGTGTTTTTCTACTAGTGAGATTTGAAATCTAAATAGTGAGTCTTTATTAACATTAAAAAAAAACAAAGAATAGAAAATACCAGCATGGATGGCAGATAGTAAAGGTAAGTATTGTTTTGTCAAACTAAGTTGTGTGTGTGTTTGTGCATGTGCAGTGTGCATGCACATACATGCAAATGAAGGGTTGAAATGTAAAATATTTATTCTTATACCCACTTTAGGGATTCATATGTGTTGTACATTCACATGAATATAGAGTTAGTATTCTGTTCTTACCAGTGTTCAATCAGTGAGATACTGAAGCCTCTGTTTCTCACCCCTTTTCATAGGCATGCATCCTCTTTATTGTCCTTTACCTTACTCCTTTAATTATTGAAACCATTTATCTTTTTGGTTTCTATAATTGGCTTCTTCTGTCAGGTGAGCATAGAAGATGTATATGAGTCACTCAGTACTCTGATAGATATTATTCTGAACAGAGGGTCTGGAGAATATAGTTTCAGACCTGCCCATGTCACTTTGGACAAGTCATTTTATCAGAAGCTTTTTGGTTGCCTGATTGTTCACAGACAACTATTATTCCCTGCACTGGGATGGCTTTCTGTATTTATCATTGGAAGTATTTATTTACTCATTACATAATGTGGTCACAATCTTATCAGTAAGTCCTAACTTATTTGTTACCTTGTCAAAATGTTGAACTTGGTTTTCAAGCAGTAAAGAGTTGGCATGTGCTCTCTCAATTGAGAATTGTACCCTTTTCCAAGCCATTAAAAGTCAAGTGAAAAGACTAAGTAGACAAGTTAGGCTCTGTATAACCATTGAAATGACAGAGGAGAGAAAAAACCAAAACAAAACACTGTAAGGTAAGCATGATTAGAATGGTACAATGTAGGTAGTTTGATCTCTTTTCTAACAGGGGATATTGGGTAAAGTGAGTAAATAATGAGGGTGGTAAACTTGACAGCTGGGAGGAATGGAAGTGGCATTTGCTAGCTGCTGTAGGAGGCGGGTGTCTTTAGAGTGTGCACATGTGAGAGGCTGGGGGCATAGAAGCATATTTTCTTCCCCTCTTGATTAGATTACTGAAGTACGGGGAAGGAGTCATGACTGAGGAGGTCACTTGCAAGGCTGTGGATTTTTTTTAATTGATACATGCTTTTACAGAAATGTCTTCTACAAGAAGAACATTAAGAATTTTCAGTATCACATAAATTAAAGTTAGTGTGCTTTTTTTTTTTAATTATGAACTTAAGAACCTGGTGAACTCTTAACTTTGTCTTCAAGTTTACATTCAGTCTGTCAGGATATGTGTAGAATGCATATTTACATTGTTATAATCTGTGTTCAAGTTAATTAGATTTATTCTGTATATGTTATACTTTATAAAAAATGTATCAGTGTAGTTCACATATTTATTCTTTAATGGTATATAATTCTTTCTAGTTATTATACCAATTATACCATAATTCATTGGGCCTTTCACGTACTTGGTAGTATTTGGATGTTTTCAGATTTCTTGCTGCCATAAATTCTGTAATTGTGAACACTTTTTTTATTTTAGAGTGCTTCTTGAGTAGTTCTTCCTTAAACATTGTAAGGGAAACTATTCAGAAGGTGTGTAAATACACTTTAAAGTTAAAATGTCTGCTTTATAACACCATCTCCAATCCCTTGATTTTTTCAGAATTGGCTTCTCTCTAAAGCAGGTTTAAAAAATACAGAGTCATAATAGTGATATTGCAAACCAAAAACCAAACTCTCTGCCATAGAGTCATTTCCAACTTGTTGTTGTTGTTGTTATGTGCCGTTGAGTCGGCCCCGACTCATAGCGACCCCTCCTTGGGTTTCCGAGGCAGTATCACTACGGAAGTAGGATTGCCCAACCTTCCTTCCGAGTTCCAACTTGTAGTGACCCTGTAATAGAGTACAGCTGCCCCATAGGGTTTCCAAGGCTGTTATTCGTTAAGTAAGCAGAGTGCCACATCTTTCTCCTGCAGAGAGGCTGTGGGATTTGAACCTCCAATCTATTGGTTCGCAGCTGAGCACTTTAACCACTGCACCACCAGATCTCCTGGTATTGCAGCAGTTAGGTTTTAATGTTAAAAATGCCCATACTTTGAAAATAGTCAATGGTTGTTCATCTTCCCCTTTTCTTGCGTTTATTCTTGCTTCAGCTTACTTGCCTTTCTTTCCCCACAGTTGTTTGTTGCTGGTTTGATTGTGCTGCTGTTAGATGAGCTGCTACAGAAGGGTTACGGCTTGGGGTCTGGTATTTCCCTCTTTATTGCCACCAACATCTGTGAAACCATTGTCTGGAAGGCCTTTAGTCCCACTACCATTAACACTGGCAGAGGTACATTGCACAGTGACTGCAACTGCACGAGTTTTGCTGGATGTGTGCTGAAAACTAATACACAGTTTAGTTTACATGCCTCTACCTATGCTGATTGCTATGCCAGAGTACAACTAATGCTAACCGCCCAAAAGTTAATAAGCAGAGATTTGTGGAGTATGAAGTAATACTTCAAAAAATTATCAAAATTTTAGCTTTTGCGCTTTTAAAATCTCAGTGGTTGCAAACAGATTTTTAAAATTTTGTTAACCTTATTTCAGCTGTTGCTGCGTAAGTCGTTTATGTGACCAATTTCAGCATTCCTAGGATAAATAAGATGGTGGATTTAGATTTTTTAAGTGAAAAAGCTTACTGTATCATCAAGGAGGACTGATACATTGCTGCTATTCTACTTTTGGCTTTGTAATGGCACCGAAATACTGAAATATTTTCTTCTGCCTTTATGCATCTCCACTTCTCTCAGATGCCATCCTAGATTCTTTTTGGTTAACATATAAACTGATTCCAGCCCTAAGAAAGTAGCAATGATGGCTTATTAATGTTCTTGGTAAAATAAATTTAAAGACAAGCTTATAGAGCAACATCTATCTTTGATTCTGACATCTTTATTCTGCTTTGCTGCTGCTGCTTTTTTATCCCCCTAAAAATGCTCTTTTTCCTTCCCTGAAGTAAAGGAGAGGCAAATCTTTCTGAACTAAATATTTGCTTTGATTTATTCTTCTTTGGCTATTTTCATCAACAATAGTCCCTTGAGACAACTTCAGATTTGATGCTAAAAAAAAGCTACATTTGCCTCAACAATTAAATATTTTTAGAATCTCCACACATGGCTGTTTCATAAAGTAAACATTGAATTACTTTGACTCATTTTTGCTGTACGCTGGAGTTTCAAGGTTATTTGTTTTGACCTTTGTGACAAGTTTGGATAATGAATCTATAGGTAATTTCTATCTTGATTTATCAGGTACCGAGTTTGAGGGTGCAGTCATAGCTCTGTTTCATTTATTGGCCACCAGAACAGACAAAGTTCGAGCTTTAAGGGAGGCTTTCTACCGTCAGAATTTACCCAATCTCATGAACCTCATTGCTACAGTTTTTGTGTTTGCTGTTGTTATATATTTTCAGGTAAGCTTAATCTCTTCACCAAAGTAAGTGGGATGTGGGTTTTTACTTTGCTTTGAAGAATGCCATGAAATGTTAGTGTCTAACAAGTCAGTGTTTCAAAATCTAGTCAAGCAGATAATTGCATTCTTTGGACTCTGATTTTAAAGTGAAAAATAGTTGTGAAGTAGAAAAAGGATTTGAAAGACTATTTTTGCAAGAGGAAAATTTTTTGTAAGCACTGTCCGTTTATATTCCCTGAAGTTACTTGTTTTACCTCTCTGGTTTATATTCTTTTCTTGATATTTACAGTTCTTCTATTTTTGTTTTATAGGGATTTCGAGTTGACTTGCCAATTAAGTCAGCCCGGTATCGAGGACAGTACAGTAGCTATCCCATCAAGCTCTTCTACACCTCCAACATTCCCATTATTCTTCAGTCTGCCTTAGTTTCAAACCTGTACGTTATTTCCCAGATGCTGTCCGTTCGATTTAGTGGCAACTTCTTAGTAAATTTACTAGGACAGTGGGCTGTGAGTATTGTGTTCTTTATATGAAGTATTTTAAGTATTTAAAATGTATTATAATTTGCACTTAATAGTTAAATTTTTATCTGGAAAAGATGAGGCATAATTGAATCAGTTACTGTAAAATTTTGAGATTCTTGTAGAGTAGAATTTATTATATAGCTGGTAGAATTGTTGAGTGTTATACAACGAAAATGGGGTAAGTATTTTTTATTATTTTACTGTCTAGGAAGGATTTTTCCCATCACATTTTTTTTTTTTTTTCATTTTTAGGCTAAAATAATAGTTGCTTTCATAAAAAGATTTCCTATTTTGTAATATTATCTTCCATAACAATGAAGTTTCATTAACAAAACAAAACAAAACAAAAACTATTTCCTGATAATACACAGGATGCTTGAAAGATCCTTTCCTCTCCCTCCACCCATTGTCACGTCCAGAATAACAATAAACTAGCTTGTGATTATCTGGGCTGGAGAGAAGCATGTAATTAATTAGACTGAAGAGAGAGCAGTGTTGCTAGAATTAGAATCTAGGAAATTCTTACTTCCTTTTATATCCTCTTCATCATAGCTTCTTCTTTAGTCATGTTATTGAAGTTATTGTAGAATTTTGATTTGTTCATATTTTGTCACCTGACAAAAGGTTATCTCCACACACAAACACTAAGAAATTATAGAATTAGACTCTGTTCTTTAGCAGAGTATATAATTCTGGAATTGGTATTTTTACAGTCATTATCCTTGAAATATACTTATTCTATTCATTTATTAATCTTTCTTTGTTATTATAAATTTTAGCAACTCATGTCTTTCTGCTTTTACTGAAGATCTTTTTTTTTAAATTTAAAGTTTAACAGGTTAAGGCAGTAATTCTTTTTTTTCCCCCCTCATTAACCACTCTGAGCTATTTGTAATAAATAAACTTGAGTAATTTTATTTTTTTTTTAAATTATGATTTGGGTGAAAGTTTACAGAGCAGATTCACTTTCCATATAGCAGTTCACATACACTTTGTCTCATGACATTGATGAGTTAACCACAAAGCAACAGCTTCCCTCCCACTTCCTGCCGATAGTTACCTCTTCCCTGTGTCCGTCCCTCCATGCGCTCCTGTCCCCTGAGCTCTCTCCCTGTGCATAAACAGCCCTTCTCTCTCCCATGTTTGTTCTCTTCAAGGCGTGTATCTACCTAGTGTAAATGTTCACCTCATATGCCTATCTTTTGTTTGGCTGAAAGCCACAGGTGTGGGTTCAATTCCAGACCTGAAGGGCAGCTAGGGGCCATAGTCTTAGTGGTTCTACCAGACTCTATCAGACCAGCAAACCTGGTCCTTTTTTTTCCCAAATGATTTTGAGTTTTATTCCACATTGTTGTCCCTCTCTATCCAGGGTCTCTTACGTAGATGTCCCTCTGAGTGGTTGACAGTGGTAGCTGGGTACCATTTAGTTCTTCTAGTTTCATAGTCGTATAGGCTGAGGATCACATGGTGTACCAGTCGCTTGTACTCATTGTTTCCATGCGTCTTTGGTTTTCTTCATTCTTCTTTGCTCTGGATGAGGAAAGACCAATCGTTGCATCTAGATGGCTGCTTGCAAGCTTTTAAGATCCTAGTCGCTACTTGCCAAAGTAGGATGTGGAACAGTGTTCTGTGTACTGTGTTATGCCAATTGAGCTTGATGTCCCCTGCAACTATGCTCCCGGGCCCACAGGTTCAGTTACTCGCTCCCTCTAGGTAGCTGGCTGTGCCCAAGAAGTGACTACAACCTTGTCCCTTGTCAGCTCTACTATACACCTGGGAATTCTTACAGATCATACAAATACACTTGTAGAACCATTGTCTGCCCACCCTATACATGGTCTTGGGTACACACCCCCCTGCATAGACATACCTAATAGTTCAGCCTGTCTACCCATCTATTCACCTTTATACCCATTTTGCCTTTACTGACAATGCAGTATTGTATGTGCAAAAGAGTTCATCTTTTGTTGTCTATACCTCCCATGTACCTCTCTCTGTTTTCTTCTTCCTCAGTGCCACCATGTTGATCACTCACATTTGGTACACTGCTCTTCTCTTCACCCAAATCAATATTTGTTTCTACCTATCTAACGGGAGCTCTGGTAGCGTAGTGGCTAAGGCACTTGACTGCTAACCAGAAGGCTGGCGTTTCAAACCCACCAGCCACTCCTCGGAAGGAAGGTTGGGCAATCCTACTTCCGTAGTGATACTGCCTCGGAAACCCAAGGAGGGGTCGCTATGAGTCAGGGCCGACTCGACGGCACGTAACAACAACAACAACAACCACCACCTATCTAACAGTGTTCCCTCCCCTCCCCTCCTACCCCTGGTAACCAACAAATAAAATTTCCTTCTATATGTAAACCTTTCCTTGACTTTTTACAATAACAGACTAATACAATATTTGTCCTTCTATGATTAATGTACTTCACTCAGCATAATGTCCTCCAGGTTCATCCATGTGATGCAGTGTTTTGCCAATTCTATGTTATTCTTTAGGGTTGCATAGTATTCCATTGTGTGTATGTACCATAGTTTGATTATCCATCCTTCAGTTGATGGACACCTAGGTTGTTTCCATCTTTTGGCCATTGTAAATAGTGCTGTGATAAACATGGGTGTGCATATATCTGTTCTTGTAATGGCTCTCACTTCATTAGGATATATACCTAGTAGTGGAATGGCTGGGTCAAATGGTAATTCTAATTCCAGCTTTTTAAGGAATCACCATACTGCTTTTCACAGTGGTTGTACCATTTTACAGTCCCAACAGTAGTGTATGAGAATCCCAATCTCTCTGCATCCTCGCCAGCATTTGTTATTTTCTGTCTTGCTGAACTTTGCTCCTAGTGCTGGGGCAAGATGGTATCTCATTGTTGTTTTGATTTGCATCTCTCTAATGGCTAATGATTCTGAGCTTTTCTTCATATGTTTGTTGGCCGCCTGAATATCCTCTTTGGTGAAATATCTGTTCCTGTCTTCTGCCTATTTTTAATTGGATTATATGTCTTTTTGTTGTTGAGTTGTTGGAGTTTTCTATAAATTCTAGAGATAAGTCTCTTGCCAGATAATCATTGCTGAATATTTTTTCACAATCAGTAGGTTTTCTTTTCACTCTTTTGGAGAAGTCTCTGAAAGCACATCAAAATTTAATTTTTAGAAGGTCCCATTCATCTAGTTTCTCTTCCATTTGTGCATTTTGGGTTATGCTTGATAGTTTATGCCATATATTGTTGTTGTTGTTATGTGCCGTTGAGTCAGACCTGACTCATAGCGACCCCTCCTTGGGTTTCGAGGCAGTATCACTACAGAAGTAGGATTGCCTAACCTTCCTTCCGAGGAGTGGCTGGTGGGTTTGAACTGCCAGCTTTCTGGTTAGCAGTCAAGTGCCTTAGGCACTATGCTACCAGAGCTCCTATGCCATATATTAGGGCCCCTAAATTTGCCCCTAGTTTTTCCTTGAGGAACTTTATAGTTTTAGGTTTCACATTTAAGTCTTTGATCCATCTGGAGTTCGATTTTGTGTGTGGAGTGAGGTACAGATCCTGTTTCATTTTTCTACAAGTGGATATCCAGTTTTTAAGGCAGTAATTTTTGAATGTTAATTGAAGACAGTAGGATTCCTTTTGTCCTAAATACTGCTTTTCCATCTGTTTAACAGCCGTTTGATTACCTGATGTATACTGGTCATTATAACTAGAAGAGGACATAGGGGAGTAAGGATTCTGTCCCTCCCCTCATGAGCTAACAGTCAAATAAGAGACAGTTTTCATAGTAATGAATGCATTGAGTGGTTGCTTCTGTATACATTGTATTGTGATCTTGATTAGTATGTTTTTTTCAAAGGAGAGAATTATTAGGAAATGGAATTTGTCTCTAAAGAGTTCTTTTGATCTGAGATTCATGACTCGAGGGTACTCATTTGGAAATCATAAATTCATAAACCAGATATTTTAATCATTGTGACTGAATATTGCTTTCCCATTTCATGGCCCCAAAACTTTATTTAATATGAATAAATGCATGCTATTCCCATTATTATAAAAATTCTTAAATGTTTGGATAAAAATTCCATTATTACAAATACTCATTAAGATTATTCCTTATAATAATATTCAAACCATGTAAAGTTTTGGCAATAAATTTTTCACCTTCTCTCAGTATTTCAGTTGATTATATTCTTTATTATTTTTTGGTGAAAATAGCCACAACAAAACATTCACCAATTTGAATTTCCACATGTACAATTCAGTGGCAGTGGTTACATTTTCCAAGTCTTGTCACCTTTCTTGATACTCTTTTCCAAATTATTTCACCATCATTAACATAATGATTGCATTCTTAATAGAATATTTTCATATAGACAAATCATGCATGTGGGTTTTAATTTGTTGAATACTTTTATGGAGTTCAGAAAATCTCAGATTCTAAATGTAATGTTTATTAATATAATTATATTCCTGTTTTTGGGAAGTGGAGATCTGTAGATGTATTATAATAGTGTTCATTTTTAAAAAGAGCTTTTCTGTTAATAATATATTCAGAGTCTTACGTGTAATGGTCACTGTGATTTTGAGGGTGTGAAGGTATTAGGGGCAAAATTATTGGTATCCTTAGCTGCAGGTGCTTTGAGCTTAAAACAGGAAATAATTTTTGAGAAGTATTTAAAGTCATAAAGATGTACACTTGACCAGTTAGGTTGATTTGTCTTTTTTATTCTTGGTCTGCAGGATGTCAGTGGAGGAGGACCTGCTCGCTCTTACCCAGTTGGAGGCCTTTGTTATTATCTTTCTCCTCCTGAGTCCATGGGTGCCATATTTGAGGATCCTGTCCATGTAGTAGTTTATATCATCTTCATGTTGGGATCATGTGCATTCTTTTCTAAGACATGGATAGAGGTGTCTGGCTCCTCAGCCAAAGATGTAAGCATTTGGTTTATTGGGGAAAAAAAAAAAAAAATTGGAGGCTTGGGAGAAAAATGATTTTTAGATGTCAGAATAGTAATTGATGTACTATTTTATCATTTAAACTTTAATTCAGACATTCTTAACGGGGTGATGTCACACCCATGGGAACAAAAATTGGTTCTTAGAAGGTGAAAAATTTGTAGATATTACCATGGTTTGTGGCCTTCCAAAGCTCAGCCCCACCCAACACAATACTCCTTATATTTCATTTATTGCTTTGGGGAGATGATAATGAAACAAGGCTGAGAAACAGTTTAATGTACGATTAAAGTAGTTTTGCAGCACTGTATCCTCTTTCCTCAGGTTTAAGATGAGTGATGTGACAATATCTACTTCATTGTTCTTGCCTTTTATTTGGTAGTGTGTAGAATGAATTTCTTACAGAACCTGATAGACAGTAAATAGTGAAATGTTAGAGTTTTCTTTAAAAGTTGTTCTTCTTTTGGCAGGTAGCTAAACAGCTTAAAGAACAGCAAATGGTAATGAGAGGTCACAGGGATACCTCTATGGTTCATGAACTTAATAGGTAAGGCCATTAGATTTAATCCTTTATGAGAGAGAGTGCATGTGTATATATACATACTTGCTATTGCAATCTATCTTTAAATTGCTATTATTATTTGTTCAAATTCGTATTTAAAGAATTTTTCTTCTTTTCTTCACACAAAAGAGCCAAAATATAACACAAAACTTAATTGTTATCCACATCAAAATTGTTACCGTAGTTAAAATTGTATTCCCTTCACTGTGAAGCACCAGTTTAAATTAGGGTTCTCAATGTTGCCTGACTGCACATAGAATTGCTGTGGAGCTTTTTTAAAACACTGATATCTCACCTTGAGGAACTGGATTTAGTTGGTTTGGTGTAGTTCCCAGGCTTTTGGTTTTTCGGTAACAGCTTTATCAAGATAAAATTCACATACCATGTATTTTCACCCATTTGAAGGATATAGTTAGTGGTTTTTAGGATATTTGTAGTTCTGTGGGAGCTCTGGTGGCATAGTGCCTAATGCATCTGACTGCTAACCAGAAGGCTGGTGGTTCAAACCCACCAGCTGCTCCTCAGAAGAAAGACTGGGCAGTCTACTTCTGTAGAGATACCACCTTAGAAACCCAAGGAGGGGTTGCAATGAGTTGGGATTGATTTGATGACAGTGTGTTTTTTGTAGTCATTTACAATCTAATATATAAACACTATCATCACACGGAAAAGAAACCTTGTACCCATCTGCATTTTCCATCCTTCCACCACATTGTCCCTAGCAACCACTCATCTACTTTGTCTTTATAGATTTGCCTATTCTAGGTTTCATATAAATGGGAATCATAAAATTTCTCTTTTGCAAATGACTGCTTCTACTTGGTATGTTCTTGGGGTTCACCCATGTTGTACCATGTATGAAACTTCATACCTGATCACTGAATAACCTCTCAATGTAGATAGAAATTTGTTTTCTTGTTTTTTGCTATTATGAATACTTGTGTACAAGTTTTATGTGGATGTTTTTCTCTCTAGAAGTGTTGGGTCATGTAGTAAACTGTTATTTTGAAAAAATAGCCAAAGTGGCTTCATTATGTACATTCCCAATAGCAATGAGGGGAGTTCCAATTGCTACATATTCTTGTCAACACTAGTTATTCTTTATTTTAACCATCTTCTTGAGTGTAAAGTGATGCCATTGTTGTTTTGATTTGCTTTTTCCTGACAGCTAATGATGTAGAGCATCTTTTCCTGTATCATGGCCATTGTTTTTGTCCTCTTTGGAGAAATCTCTACTCAGTTACTTTGCCTATTTTTTTATCTGGGTTATTTGACTCTCTGTTGCTGAGTTAAAATATTTTAAGAATGTATTTTAGACAGAAGTGTCATCAGATATGTGATTTGCAAATTTTTTTCTCATTCTGTGTATTGTCTTTTTACATTTTTGATGATGTCTTTTAATGCAGAAAAGTTTAATTTTGAAGAAGTCCAATTTATCTATTTTTTTTCTCTGGTTGCTTATGCTGCTTTTGGTGTTGTATCTAAGAAGCCATTGTCTAACTAGAGTCACAAATATTTATTCTTGTTTTACAGTTTTGGTTCTTGCATTTAAGTCTGTGATCTACTTTGAGTTAATTTAGATGTTTGGTGTGAGGTAGCAGTCCAAATTCATTCTTTTGCATGAAACTGTATATCCAATTATCTCGGCTCCATTTATTGAATAGGCATCAGTATTTTTATTTAAACTTTTAATTTAGAAATAGAATCCGTGTACCTAACGATATTGTCTTAGTAGTCATCACTAACCTGCCATTCATGTTCCTGTGCCATCTCTGCTTCTGGTTTTTTTGGTTTAGTATTTTAAATACAGCCCTATTAGTTTTAACAGTTTTTCAGGTGATTCTACTGTGTAGCTAACTTTAAATTACTTTTGAAGAGAATCATAAAAATCTTCCATGTAAATCTATGTGCTTTTTAGGTAACATTTTCAAATTCACTTTGTTCCACAAGAGGGAGCTGAAGGTTACCTACTTAAAAATATTACACATTTTAGTACTTAAATCTAAATTGAGGCTTCTAATCTTATGCCCAAAGAATAATCACATACTATCTTTCTTGGCTATTTAGTGTTTTTTTTTTGAGTCAGAATCAATGCCATAATCATGAAGTTTTCATTCACATGTAATCTTTTATGGACAGTCTGTTAATACTTGGTCCTTTTTTGATTAGTTTAATTCTACTTCTTTAGAGAGAACCATTGTTGGCAAGGGAGCTCTGGTAGCATAGTGGCTAAGACACTTGCCTGCTAACCAGATGGCTGGCGGTTCAAACCCACCAGCCACTCCTCGGAAGGAAGGTTGGGCAATCCTACTTCCGTAGTGATAACTGCCTCGGAAACCCAAGGAGGGGTCGCTATGAGTCGGGTTTGACTCGACGGCACATAACAACAACAACAACATTGTTGGCAAAGCTGTGGCATATTACTAACTGTTCCTTTTCATATTCTTCTGCACTGACTGAGGGTTTGTGTCTTCTAGGTATATCCCCACAGCTGCTGCATTTGGTGGTCTGTGCATTGGTGCCCTGTCAGTATTAGCTGACTTCCTGGGGGCCATTGGATCTGGCACTGGAATTCTGCTTGCAGTCACAATTATTTATCAGTATTTTGAAATATTTGTTAAGGAACAGGCTGAAGTTGGTGGGATGGGTGCTTTGTTTTTCTAAATGTTTAAATACTTCTGTTTGTGTGTGTGAAAGGGTAAATATTTTGACACATTGTTTTTGTCAAATAATGCTGGTTCCCCTTTTTTTCCTTCTCAGTTTCTTGTTTTCAAGTGCTAACTGCCCCATTTCTGAAATGGGCACTGAGCTAAGCCTGTGTGCAGCATTAGTACCAGCTGCCTTAAAACTGAAGTTTACATTATTTGTTCAAAATGTACATTTAGTGTTGCCTGTAATGCTGGAAACCAATGTTTATCTCCCTTGCTGTGTTAAATCATGACGGTGAGATGGTGACATGGATTAGTTTTGCACACAACATTCAGAACACTTAAGATTTCCTCCACTTGTTTAAAAATAAATATAGTTCAAATTGCCACTTTTCCAGTATTTTTGAGCTTATTTAATGAGTTCTTGAACATTTATATCTAATCTCTATTTTAGATAATTACTTTTTATACTTTTTTAACTCACAGTATCCACCTTCCCTCCCCTCCTTGTCCCCTTTTCCCCACCCCTTTTGGCCCTTCTTAAAGCAGCCACTTAGCCCAAATGGGTGAAATTGAGCCTCAAAGTGTTATCCGTTAGTAGAAAAAACTGCTTATAATTACTCTTCCTATTTTTCATTTCTCCTTTCTTCCAGTGACAGCATAAATGTTACTGTTTTACTGTATTGGCTATGCCTTCTAATTCCAACAAGTCACTTGAGAATACTCTTTCAAGATATTATGCCCCAATTCTTTATTTTAAACCCTTAAAGAAAAGATCTAATTCTCAAGCAGTGTCTGTAGTTCAGTGGAGGTGAACAATGAGTAATTCATGCTAGGAATTTGTGTATGTTGTTGTACTTTACAGCAGCAACATAAGTGTAAACAGTAGACAATAAACTTTTATTTAATGAAACTGTTTCAGTTGTGTTAGAAAAATAAATAAATCTGATATTAAATTGTTTTCTAAGATTATTTGTATAGGTTCATTGTATTTGTATAAAATCCATCCTGAGTTGCCACTACTAATAGAGAAATGTAATTAGTTTAACAGTTTCCTAAAATATTGCGGGACAGTGACTAATAGTACTCATTTATGTGACCAACATTTGGAAAGAAACAGGAAAACCATCAGTACTAGTCCAGTCTTCATTTGAAATGGCACAGTTCTCTGCAAATAATTCATTTTTTAAAGTATGTGCTTTATTTTCCAAAAAAGATCAAACTTGATTAAAGAATCCTTGTTAGGAATGTATGTTCCATCTTTGTTAACTTTCTTATTAAGTGTATGGTGTATGTCTTGTTTAAGCTTAGAGTCATAAACCCAAATATTGTTGGTGCAAAGCAGGTCTAAAAGGCATGCAGGATAGTTAACTCAGGTCAATTGCATGGAGACCTAAGGCTCTCAGGCCATTGTTATCAGAAAAATATGGCCCCAGTGTTACTACCTCTGAATTCTTTTCAAGACAAGTTGGAAATCTGGCTTTTTATATGAAACCTTCACTTTTTAAATGATGGCAAATAAACTTTTAAAGAGTGCCAGTAAAAACACTGCCAGTGAAAACATCCAGTCTGCCAGTTCTCAAACTTGGACTTAATTTCTGAAGTGTAGTCTTTTGATGTTTATAAATAACATAAATGGCATTAGGAATATGTTCTAGGATTTAGCTGTCACTCTAAATTGCAATCTTAGGAAAAGAGACAGGTAAGATAGACATATTTCCATGCAGGCTTCTAGTATACAGAAAGATGGACCTAATAACCAGGACAAAATGGCCCTCCTCCATCAGTATTTAAGAAGTTTCTCATTCCCATGGGGAATGGCTGGTTTGTGCCAGTCTATATGCCTTAATTCTTGCTTTGCAGTAGAATAATGCCAAAAAGACTTGGTCCTTGAGAGTTCAGAGAAAAGGATTAAGGTCTTTGGAGACTCATGAAACCCATGATTTAAAATAAAATTTTAAAAGGGGTGACAGGCACAGGGGAAGGCTATTACAGCAAGTGGACAGGGCTTAGTTTTCTTATTTATAAGGAGAGTGGATTCAAATTGAATTCTGTAGTCCTATCATTCTTTCCAACCTTGTATAAGAAATCTAGTATAACTTTATATATTCATTCATAAAAAATATATCTGGATAAGACTGAACCTGCAGACAAATGAACTATGTGGCAGCAGTTTGGGCATTTAGTGCCCTGATTTTATCTGGAGAACAGCTTTTTTGTTGATTGATCATAAAGGCCTGCCTTGACGCCTGGATTCAGGACTAGAAACATGACAGGGCTGGCCAATGAGGATCATCCTGAGACTTCTATTTGAATTATCAGGAGGGGGCTAAACTCAAAAAACAATTAATCCTGGAGTTACTGGAGGCCATAAATGTCAACAAGAGGAACGCTTAGTCAAAAGACTGAGTCACTAGTTAAACTTTTGGATGACAGGGGCTTGTGTTGGGTTTCTGGTACTAATATATTCAGTTTTTAGAAACTTCAAGTACTTTTTGAGGTAGGGACAGGAAATCAAATTCTAAACATTACATGCGCACACTTGAGGAAAGTGGCCTATATTTTCATTAGTCTCTTAGTATAGTGAATGGAATCATTGATTTTTCATTACATTAGAGCTGGTTCAGTAATTAGGTGGCTAGCAGGATACCTAAATAATTGCTTATCAAGAGTGTTATTCTCTTTATCATTTTTCTTCTGCTACTCAGAGTGCACATAGCAAATAGTTCAATTAGGAGGGGCCAGGAAAATCTGTACATAGGTCTTTGTTTTTCATTGTTTAAAATACTAATGTGGTAAATAGTTATCTGCATACTCACTTACAGAGTTTATATTGGGGGCTGAGTATTGGAAGAGTTGACCTGATTTAGAATTTATGTCTATTTTCCTATAGAAATATTCTTGTTTCTAAGGCTAGATTAGAAGAGTAACAGTTTTTTTTTTTTTTTTTTTAATTTGGAGGAAATATATCTGCATTTATGTCTCTTCATTACATTAGCTAGAGTTTAACAAATTCAAATGCAGGTGACAGCCTACCTGTAATTACAGTTCCATACCACCACATGCATTCTGTGTTGCTTTTATTTTGTGAAAAAGCTAATTTCAAATCTGCATTAAATTATATTGAATACAAAGTCTGAATGAAGAAGGCCTGGTGGTCTTGTTTACAAAAACATACTGCCAATGTCCTTTTTGGCCTTAAAATTTCAGGAAGGGCACTTCAAATGGCTTAGTATTTGCATGTTTCAATGCCAAAGCATAGGAATAGACTCTGGCATCCACTGTAAGATGTTCTTCAGCTACCAGAGCTGTAGGAAACAAAAAGTAGAAGTTAGACAATACAATTAATAAAGGTTAATACTCTTTAACATTCAATCAGTATTTATAGAGCAAAGTTCCTATGCTATAGAGTCTGTAATAACAGCAGTGAACAGGTTCTTAATCTGGTGGTGGAATAAAGGATATAAAAGCAAGACTTCAGTCCCAGCATGAGATTGAAAGAAGGGCACATATGTTGAGAGAGAATATTTCACTTGTTAAAACAGCAAAGCTTTTAAGTTTATAGATCCAATTGGTATACAGAACACATTGTAGGGCTCTGCTAGTTTGAAACTAAATGGTGATGATTATTATGAAAAGATTCATGTGTTTTTTCCACCGGCAGGGGATAAACGTTTTCCCTGTGTGAATTAAAACTGTGCAAGGGAGGACTGGAATACTACTAAGAATCAGGTCTCAGAATCTTACTGCAATAGATGGAGTTGTCAAACTTCTCATCTGTCTCTGGTTTTCCTAGTTGTTTAGGAACAGACATTTTGATCCTTGAAGGCAGGGATCAGGTGCTACTCTTCAGCATGGCAGATGCTTGTTAAGTATCTGACAATATTTCTTGTAGCAAACTGAACTAAAAAGTACACTTACTCCTCACTGATCAACTATCTTGTTATTTGGCATTTATAGTAATAGTAAAAAAATCTGACTATTTTGCACATTAATAATGTATGTCTGGAAGTGATGAACATTGACATGTGAGGTGAGAGTAATGCTGGCTGTGATGGTTAAAGTCCTGTGTCCCCTTGGCTGGGCCATGACACTGGTTTAGCAGTCTTGTAATGATAAAATCTGGCAGCTCTGTCATGATGTAGTCATCCTCTGCTGTTCTGTGATGTTCGGATCTGACTCAGTGACCATTCCTTGGGTTTCTGAGGCGGTATCTCTATGGAAATAGATTGCCCAATCATCCTCTATTTTCAGATAATGCCAGTTTTTGCATAATGACCTGGTCTTTGGAGTGGGTGGGTGTATTTTCCTCACAGCATCTCATATGTTACTTGTTCAATAAATTATTTGATTACTATATTTTGATTCTAGTAAAGTTAGGCCAGCTGGTGCTTTTATCCTTCTCTCTTTATATATCTATCTCCCCCTTCTTTCCTTTCTCTTTATGCTTCCTATTTTTTCTCTCTTGTAAGACCAGAAAGGAAATTATGTGAAAAGGAAAAGAAAGGAATTTTTATAAAAGGATGCTCTTCTAATATAGAAAAATAATATAAACATATGGCATATAACATTTAAGCATGTGTGTTCCCAGTGCTTTTGCATACATTATCCCATTTAATTATACTCACACCTCATCACAGGTAGGAGCTAACTATCATTGTTCTGTTTGATGACAAAAGCTTACATAGGCTAATTAACCAGTAACTAAGAACCAATACATGGTCAGCTAAGCCTCAAACCCAGTCAGGTCTGTCAGACTCCAAAGGTGTACTGTCTATTATTTATAGCCGTGACTTTCTCTAAGTATCTAATTAATACAGTTAATAAAGGCTACTATCCCTTTACTGTAATTCTTCAGCATCATTATTCCGTCTATGAGATCATGAAGTGGATTTTACTTTAGGTCTACTTTTTAAAAACGTAAACTAAGAACAGAAGCCATCTGGGAATCTGAAATCACAGCAAATTTGAAAACTCCTTAAACAACACAGACCTTTCAAAATAAAGTGCATTGTGTATGAAGTAAAATTGTAAGCCACTGGTACTCATGGAACAAAACAGACTACTCTCACTTCAGGTCAAAAAATGTTTCAAGTTAATTTCTGAAATAATCACTTAAAAGTAGTAGAAAAATTATGTACCAATTTCCTGAAATACAACCAATCAAATATTCAAGTTATGAAAATTATTCTTCTGCTTTAAGAAATGGGTAGGGATAGACCCAGACAGCATGAAGGAACTCCTTGAAGAGCCCATTTCATACATCTTCAGTATAGTATCTCCTAATGTAGTTGTATGGGGCTTTACAATCAAAGGATACATGTCCACAAAGCCTTATTATTTTACAAAAGCCTTAAGAGATGAGCTGGCCGGGAATTACACAATATAACTACATGACCAGTGATTTACTAGCCACACAGCTAGTTTGCTTCATTATATCGGCAATTCACATTTAGTACTCTAAACTCACTACTGTCGAGTCGGATCTGACTCAGTGACCATTCCTTGGGTTTCTGAGGTGGTATCTCTATGGAAATAGATTGCCCAATCTTCCTTCTGAGGGGTGGCTGGTGGGTTTGAATCACCAGTCTTCTGGTTAGCAGTCAAATGCCTTAGGCACAATGCCACCAGAGCTCCCAGTATACAATGTTGTTGTTGTTTGCGATCGAGTCGGACCCGACTCATAGTGACCCCTCCTTGGGTTTCTGAGGCAGTATCACTACAGAAGTAGATTGTCCAGTCTTCCATACAAGGAGTGGCTGGTGGGTTTGAACCACCAGCCTTCTGGTTAGCAGTCAAGTGCCTTAGGCACTATGCTATCAGAGCTCCTCCAGTATACAATAGACACCTCAAATGTTTGTCGAACGATTATTGTTAAATTCTCCTTTAACTGATACCCTGCACAAAGAACCATACAACATAATGATGTATTTGAAGACAAGCGAAGAGATACCTACTTACACTTTTGCATTGCTATGAATTAAAGATGGAAATATAGAATAGTTTTGGCAGGTAAATAGTAGTATAATTTTGACTATTCTATGGGGGAAAAAAAGCCCTTATGGCTGAAAACGTTTTGCTCATAATTTCAAACTCTACGCCACCAAACTTCATAAAGTTTACTGGAAAACTTTATGAATAACCCTGAAACATTGTCTGATACAGTGCCAGAAGAAGAGCCCATCAGGTCGGAAGGCTCTCAAAATTTGATTGAGGGAGAGCTGAACCGTCAGAGTAGAGATGACCTTAATGATATGGATAGAGTAAAACTTTCAGAACCTCCATTGACTGATGTGGCAAGACTCAAAATGAGTAGAAACAGATGCAAACATCCATTAGCAATTGGAACGTGGAATGTACAAAGTATGAATCTAGGAAAATTGGAAGTTGTCAAAAAACGAAATGGAATGCATAAAGATTGATAACCTAGGTATTAGTGAGCTGAAATGGACTGGTTTTGGCCATTTTGAATCAGACAACCATATGATCCACTACGCCAGGAATGACAAATTGAAGAGGAATAGTGTGACATTCATGGTCACAAAGACCATTTAAAGATCTGTCCTGAAGTACAACACTGTCAGTGATAGGATAATATCCATATGCTTATGAGGAAGACCAGTTAATACTACTATTATTCAAATATATGCACCAACCACCAAAGCCAAAGATGAGGAAATTGAAGATTTCTACCAATGTCTGCAGTCTGAAATTGAATGAACATGCAATCAAGATATGTTGATTTTCACTGGTGCCTGGAATGCAAAAGTTGGAAACAAAGAAGAGTTACCTGTAGTTGGAAAATATGGCCATGGTGATAGAAATAATGCTGGAGATTGCATGACAGTATCTTGCAAGACCAACAACTTACTCATTGCAAATACCTTTTTCCAACAACATAAACAATGGCTATAAATGAGAACTTCACCAGACGGAATACACAGGAATTGGATTGACTACATCTGTGCCAAGAGGCAATGGAGAAGTTCAGTAACTTCAAGCAAAACAAGACCAGGAGCTGACTGTGCAACAGACCATCAACTGCTCATATGCACATTCAAGTTGAAGTTGAAGATAATTTAAAAAGTCCACGAGAGCCAAAATACGATCTTGATAACATCTCTCCTGAATTTAGAAACCATTTAAAGAATAGATTTGATGCACTGAGCACCAATGACTGAAAACCAAAGAAACTGTGGGAGGACATCAAAGACATCATCCATAAAGAAAGCAAGAAGTCATTAAAAAGACAGGAAAGGAAGAAAAGACAAAAATGGATGTCAGAAGAGACTCTGAAACTTGCCCTTAAGTGGAGAGGAGTTAAAGCTAACAGAAGAAGTGACAAGATAAAAGAGCTGAACAGAACATTTTGAACAGCAGCTCAAGCAGACAAAGCCAATTACTATAATGAAATGTGCAAAGACCTGGAGTTAGAAAACCAAAAGGGAAGAACATGCTCGGCATTTCTCAAGCTGAGAACTGAGGAAAAAATTTAAGCCTTGAGTTGCAATATTAAAAGATTCTATGGGCAAAATATTGAATGATGCAGGAAACATCCAAAGAACATGGAAGGAATACACAGTCACTGTACCAAAAACAATTAGTCGATGTTCATCCATGTCAAGAGGTGGCATATGATCAAGAACCAATGGTACTGAAGGAAGAAGTTGAAGCTGCACTGAAGGAATAGAAGAACAAGGCTTCATTAACTGACAGAATACCCACTGAGATGTTCCAACAAATGGATGCCACACTCTGGAGGCACTCACTCAGTTATACCAAGAGATGTGGAAGACAACTACCTGGCCAACTGACTGGAAGAGATCCATATTTGTACCCATTCCAAAGAAAGGTGATCCCACAGAATGTGGAAATTATCAAACAATATCATTAATATCACATGCAAGTAAAATCTTACTGAAGATAATTTAAAAACGGTAGCAGCAGTATATTAATAGAGAACTTCCAGAAATGCAAGCTGGATTCAGAAGAAGACATGGAATGAGGGATATCACTGTTCATATCAGATGGATCTAGCCTAAAGCAAAAGAATACCAGAAAGATGTTTACTTGTGTTTTATTGACTATACAAAAGCATTTGACTGTGTGGATTATAACAAATTATGGATAACATTGAGAAGAACGTGAATTCCAGAACACTTGATTGTACTCATGAAGAACCTATACAGAGATCAGGAGGCTGTAATTTGAACAGAACAAGGGGATACTACATGTTTCAAAATCAAGATGGGAGTGCGTCAAGGTTGTATCTTTTCACCATACTTATTCAACTTGTATGCTGAGCAAATAATCCAAGAAGCTGGACTATATGAAGAACGTGGCATCAGGATTGGAGGAAGACTCATTAACAACCTGTGATATGCAGATGACACAACTCTGCTTGCTGAAAGTGAGGATGACTTGAAGCACTTACTGATGAAGCTTAAAGACAGTCTGCAGTATGGATTATACCTCAATATAAAGAAAACAAAAATCCTCACAACTGGTGCAATAAACATCTTTATATGATGGATGGATGAAAGATTGAAGTTGTCAAGGACTTCATACTACTTGGTTCTACAGTCAACACCAATGGAAGCAGCAGTCAAGATGTCAGATGACGTATTGCATTGGGCAAATCTGCTGCAAAAGACCTCTTTCAAGTGATGAAGAACAAGGATGTCTTCTTGAAGACTAAGGTGCACCTAACCCAAGCCATGGTATTTTCAGTCACCTCTTCTACATGTGAGAGCTGGACAATGAATAAGGAAGACCAAAGAAGAGTTGATGCACTTGAGTTGTGGTGCTGCAGAAGATTGCTAAGAGTACCATGGTCTGCTAAAAGGACAAAGAAAATCTGTCCTGGAAGAAGTGCAGCCAGAATGTTCTTTGGAAGCAAGAATGGTCAACCTTTGTCTCACCTACTTTGGTCATGTTGTCAGAAGGAACTCCGGAGAAGGATATCATGTTTGGTTAAGTGGAGGGTCAACAAAGAAGGGAAAGGCCCTCAACGAGACGGATTGACACAGTGGCTGCAATGATGGGCTCAGGTATAGCAAGGATTGTGAGTCTGGCACAGGACCGGGCAGTGTTTCGTTCTTTTGTGCATACAGTTGCTATGAGTTGGAGATGACTCAATGGCACGTAACAACAACATGACACCAATGTCTAGAAAAGAAAATTAGTATTGGTCAATTGCAGTTTTGCAGTAATTTCTAGATACTTCACTAAAATGAGGAGGAATAGAAAAGAAATGGAATTATATTGAGTACTCTACCTGCTAGGCCTGGGGCAGGGAAAATATGGAAACTTGGGTAACAATCTTAAGAATGCTTACCATCAAGTCTCTTCAGCAGGTCATTCTTTGGTAAGGAAATTACTTCCATAAATTCTAAACAAACAAAGGGTAAGTGAAAACAGAGTAAAAGGACAAGAGAGCCTACCAAAACAACCCAAAATGTCTAGCCATTACCACAATACTAAGCCATCTATGTAGTCGGACATCGGAAATTGAATTGCATTACCTCCATCTCCTAGAAATAAACAGAAGGAGAAAATTTTAGCAAGGCCTGGAGTGGTAAAACACTGAAATATTTTTGTACAAAACATATCAAAAAGGGTGTAAGAATTTAACTGAAACCTGGATCTCCACTAACAATTTATATAGAGAGTAGGAAAAAAACAAAACAACAACAAAAAAACCCAGACCGTACAAAGTTCCTATTGTCCAAATAAAATATTTAATAGCAAACTTAAAGCATATTCTGTAATATGTATATTTGTCACATTAAAATGAGCCTGAGTTGTAGTGTGATACTTAAAAATAAGCCTGAGTTGCAATGTGCTACTGAACAGATATGAACAACTAAAGAGGGTGAGAAATTAAATGGGATCACCCTCATACATGACTTACTATGGTATATATATATAAATACCCCTCTTTAATAGGAGTGGGAGACAGGACATGGGGGTATTGCAGCTTTTGAATCCAAACTCTCTAAGAAATGTTATAGAACAAAGAATTTCCTAACAGCATCTCTAAATATTGAACTCAATAAGGTATAGTTAATTAAGTTGCTAACTCTTAACAATTACTTATTACCATTTTTATAATACACATGAAGACAAATCAGAGTGATTTTAAAGTTTCTCAGCATTTCCTACTTAGGCCTATAGCTCGTATTACTAAATGAGAATAAATTCCATACAGAAAATATGGGAATATGTATTTTAACATTTTATGTCAATGAAGTAATAAAAGTGTTAAAATACACAAGATTAAGAAAATAGCCAAGACTATTGATTAAGCAGGAGCTCTCGTAGCATAGTACCTAAGGGACTTGACGCTAACTAGAAGGCTGGTGGTTCAAACCCACCAGCCATTCCTCGTAGTGATACTGCCTCAGAAACCCAAGGAGGGGTAGCTATGAGTCAAGTCCGACTCAATGGCACATGACAACAACAATGATTAAACATCTAAGAAAAGCTACTTGTTCTTTTAACAAACCAAAAAACTAATAGCAAGTTAAATACCTTTAAAACAATTCAACCACCTCAAACACACTTACCAGGCTTTGGCTTAGGTCTTACATTTTCAGCATCATCTCCATTAATGGTTACTGTCACAATGTGCATAGTACAATTTGACAAACCTGGATCCATACATACAACTATGGAAAGAAGCAACAGATGACCTTAAAAAACATTAGTCAGATGCTTCAATCGCTTCTGTCATTTGTTTCACTCCTTAAATGTAACAGGAAGAAGAATGAACTCATAATTCATAGTCAGTGTAAAATTTATGCAGAATTATAGCTTATCATATTCACTCAATACAGGCTGTAGGCGCGCAGACCACGTATGTATAAGTACTCATATTTTTCCCTGAGTTCTTTAGCTAAAATTTGGTAACTCTGAGGGGTTACATGGTACTGAATTGTAAAATCCTTTCACCAAACAAGAAAAAAAAAAAAAAAAAAAAACTACTACTGAGGAATTTGGGTTATGGATGAGAGGCTAATACATAATAAAGCTTAGAATGTGAGGAATTCTGAAAGGCAACTTAATTTCAATTCTTTTCCAACTTTAGGTCCTTCTTGCTCAAACATGTTCTCACCAAGGAAGTTCATTTAAAATGGTAACCAGTCCTAATTTATTATTTCTCTTCAGTGAATTAGCTAAAATAAAAGCCACCTGAGTTCTGATCCTAAAGAATAACTACAGTTTTCTTATACCTAGTAAAATCTATTGCTGTGTTAATTTTCAAGACTTTGTCCCCAAATGCAAATGGAAAGCAATACAAACCTGGAGAACATTCAGCAATGTCACCTTTATAACCAGTTTCTTCCTCAAGCTCCCGAAGAGCAGCTGCTTCTGGGCTTTCATTGTCATCTATGAGACCTGGAAGTACAAATCATTTGTGAGGTGGGATGGGAAAGTCTGATGTTCTCTGAACCTCTTTCTTCTAATATAGGTGCTGCTGAGCTGCATTAGATGAAATTAGATTGTGAAAAGTTGTCATAGACATAAAACCGAGGCTTGGAACTTTTACAGGTGGGGGGAAGAAAACACAGCAAAAAGAGTAACACCCTACATAGATTAAGCAGGCTCTGACAGCTATCATCTATTCCTCTTATTTACAGATCTTAGTTTTTTTTTTTTTTTTTTCACGAGCATCTCAACACTGACATTTTTGTAGGGCATAGGCATGAATGGTGGTGAAATGGCCCAGCTATGTGAGTATGGCATACATAGGAAGCCTGTAAATGTTTTCTGTTTTCTCATAGGTAACATGGTGATGATAGTATTACATATCTTGCCTCCCTCCCTCCCAGAAAAATGATGCCTCACAGTGAAATGCCAAGATGAATGGTGCCAGTGAGGGAGATAAACAGAAAGGAGTAAACTGAAGGCTGGGGGACTTTAGCTAACTATAGTCATTGTGAAGAATAAGTAAAGAGGTCAATTGAATGGAGGAGAGTAGGAACTCACACTTTTTTTCCTGAAAGGAATAAAAAATATAAAGTGAAATATAAGCATACTTTTTACAAATTAATTTATGCTACTTATACAAATTAATTCCTTTAATGAGATGGTGAGTAAATTAGAAAGAACATAGCTGTTAACTATATGTCATTATAAATGAACTTTAAAAAATACCAAACATAAATCATTAATGACAGACAAATGAGATTTAATTCTTCAGACTGGGATAATCCAATAAAATCCTATAATAATAGTTGATTAAATACTGGATAACTTTCCTTATTGTGCAAATAAAAAATTGCTCTAGTTGAAATTTATTAAGACAATTTCCTTGGTCAGTTCACATATGGCCGATCAAGATGTTTTTTTCTATTTGTAGTTTTCAGGAGTTGTTGTTGTTATGTGCCGTCGAGTTGGGCCCAACTCATAGCGACCCCTCCTTGGATTTCTGAGGCAGTATCACTACAGAAGTAGATTGCCCCATCTTCCTTCCGAGGAGTGGCTGGTGGGTTTGAACCGCCAGCCTTCTGGTTAGCAGTCAAGTGCCTTAGGCACTATGCTTTTCTATCTATAGTTTTTAGGAGTTAGGAGTCTGCGAATTGTTATTATAAATTACTTGTCAGGGGAAAGATGTTAGTGATAGAAAATGAAATAAACTTACAAACTGTGGAAAAGTAAGAAATTACTCAATGAAAGCCTAGAGAGAAAGTTGCAAAGAGGAGAGTGGCATGGCTTGAAAGCAATGCTGTCACACTGTATCTTACTTCGCCTTCTTGGGCTGTATGGTGACTAGTTCCCAGGCCTTGCACTGGTCGTCCAGCAGTCCTTGAGAAGCACTTTTCAGGTTTAATTACTCACCTGCAGGGAATTCTATGCAGTAGCCACCCATTGGTGGTCGGAACTGTTTCACCAGAACAATACATTCATAATGAAGAGTTCTTTGCAGCACTGGAATAATTGCCACCCCTGTCACCAGAAAATACCAACAAGGTAATCAAGATCAATAGTGTCAGTCATTTAGCACAATCTAACTAAAATCCCATATTTTAAGAGGCCTTGCATCCAAAATCCACCCTCTATTTGCCATTAGCAATAAGTTAACGTCATCTACAATATGGGCAGTTAACTTTGGAAGCTATTCTCAACTGAAGAAAAAATAATCACACTTCCATGGTGTTTTTCTTTTTTATAAAAAGCCCATTTTTGTTATCATAATTTCTTTAAAATAAAATAAAAACTAAAGTTAAACATTCAGCCGAGTATCAAGGATATAGTGTTTACACTAATCCGTACACAGAACCATGTCTCATTGTGTAGCGAGACCATTTGTGAAGTCAGATTTCCTTAAAGCAATAAATCAAGCAAGTTCTGTTGTTTGTAGTGTACACTAGCTAGACTGAAATTTTTTTTTTTTTTTTTAGGATAAAGATCCAAGTTACTTGGCTCAATCAAAACAAAAAGAACAACAATTAACAACAAAAAACCCACTGGGTTCTAGAAAACGCATACCAGCCAAAACACAAAAAGTATTCCTCCTTAACACTTTTTCATCAGTTAAAAACAGCAGCTATAACCCAGCAAGTATTTGCTGCAGTACAAACAGAAAATAAAGCAAAGTAGAAAAATAAAAGGGAAGGAAAAAAGACCTATTGCTCAACTTCTTCTAGACCATAGGAGATTTTCAGGATTGTTTCTGGGTTTTTTATTTTCAGACAAAGCATTCACGCCAGTAAGGAAAAGTGAACTGAATGAATAGTTTTTTCCCCAATTCCATTTCCTCATCAACTTATAAAGTGTTTGATATGGATAAAGTTGTGTCAAATAAATTTTCTAAATTAAAGGCTCTCACTTAAATCTTTTGAACAGAATAGTAAGCATTTCTAGAAGTCACATTTAGATACAAGATGTAGCTTCAAATTATGATTTATGTTTGGTTATAAATCTCAGTAGGAGTCTCTATGTAGTACAAATGGATAAGCACTCAGGTAGTAACCAAAAGGTTGGCAGGTCAAATCCACCCAGAGTTGCCTTGGAAGAAAATCCTAGAGATCTATTTCCAAAAGATCACAGTTGTTGAAAAAACCCTGTGGAGCACAGTTTTACTGTGAAATACACAGGGTCACTATGAGTGGGAACTGACTCAACAGCCACTGGTTTTTTATTTTATAAGTATCAGTGTATCTTCCCCCTCAAAAACACTGCTCTGAGCTTAGATTATGTTGTTGTTGTTGTTAAGTGCCGTCGAGTTGTTTCCGACTCATAGCAACCCCATGCACAGCAGAACGGAACACTGCCCGATCCCGCGCCAGCCCCACAATCCCTGCTATACTTGAGCCCATCATCGCA